TGTTACTCATAGAACTTGCAAACATCCAATAGTGAAACCATCTTAAGTAACAAAACACCCAAGCAAAGAATAGAATAATGACTGCTGATGCATACAACATTTGCTTGAAATACATTTTTTTGCCAGAAAGGCCAGAAAGAGGACCAACTTAGAAAGAGAATGCAGGTAACTCTACAGGAGAAGAAAGAGTAGAAATGCTTAAGCAGACTCAACTATCCCAATAAAGAAAAATTATTTAAACAGAGAATTGAAGAAATAGAGCAGGAGTCAAAGCAATCATACCAGACTGAGGAAATGAAATAAGAACAGAAAGCATTGTAAGAGGAAAGAAGAAACCAAATTATTTCTTCACATATTCAAAATCAAAATAATTGACCTCCACCAGTATTGGACCTGTACAGTACTTACAAGTGACGTTTCCTATACAGAGGATGACAAAGAAATTAGTGAATTCCTAAAAGGTGTACAGGTGTCATGGGTACAATCATAGAGCACTGTATGAACATCAGAGGTCTGTGAATGTTCATTGCGCTCCCAGCAAGCATAAAAAAATATTGCCAGAACAAAGGTGGACTTCAAGAAGTAATTAGATAAGATTCTGGAAGAAGTGCCAAACCGACCAGGTTGTACTGGATGTGTGGTCCTGTGAGCTTTCCAAGCAACAGCCTGATGGACCAATTTATCACAATTTGAACCTGGCCACAGGTCGTGCTTGGGGAGTAGAACCACTCCCGGAACCCTCTCCAGGTAAACTCCAAATAACCATACGTATGTTACAGCCCTATTGGGTCGCAACTGGGTTCTTCTCTGATGTTATTAGAGTTTGGGTATCCGGCCCCAAGTTAGTAGTGGCTTTCAAGGGGTGTGTTCTGTAACGCAAGTATATTAAAGGGGAAGGGATACAAATGCACTGCTTTTGTATATATATCGCTACCACCACCATAAATAAATATATCACAGTCACACGCGGGGTTGCTATAACTACACTTATTATATACAGATTAGTCTTCCTCTGAAGACACAGGATGCTCCACGGTGCTCACGATGAGTAGCCCTGAGTAGATTCTCTCGGCGAATCTACCCCGGCCACAGGCCAGCCAAATCACAGTCCCACTGGGTGCACCGTCGTGGAGGCCTTCAACCACAAATCCAGCCTGTAGCTGGCAGGTTCCAATCAGCTCCGCTGTGTAGGCCACTCCATGACCGATACTAGGGTTGCGAGCCCTAGGCAGGAGCCTCGTGTGATTCCGCAGATCACTCTCCTCTCTCCGCACCACAGTGGGTAGTCTCTTCCACCAGCCAGCCCCCAGATAAGATGATTTCTGGTACTGCCACGTCACAGGCAGGCTAACACACTCAACAGTGTCCGTCCGGGGGTGACTCACAGCTACTGCAGCAAACACGTGGAGAGACTTTGGCTGCCTTGGGTAGACTGACTCATCGTCCAATACAGCAGTCCCAGGTCGACTCTGTAATCAGACACGTCATTAGTACTAGGGACACTCTAGGGCACCTCACTTACAGGCTTAGACACAAACATCCACCTATCCACTCCATAGATGGCGTTGCTGTCTAAGCGCCACCTCACTAGAGGTAAGCAGCGGCTACGTTACGAGCTGATTAAGACGGGAAACCAGCCCCTGTGGCCAGTATATCCCGCCCTCGCTAGATGGCGTCGCCCATTTGGAGGGGGTTTCGGGAGCTGACTCACAGATGGCGTTGTCGTCACAGCTCCGTGCTACTACGCTGGGCTTGGGTCCGTAACAACGTACTTGAATTGAGGTGAATACAAACAATACATAAACAGATTCAAAATATAGAAAGGAACATTTTGAAATGATAAATGGGAAGCTACATGTTACAAAAGAGTAATTAATGAGGAACATTAAATGTGTCTTAATTGGCATTAAATGTATTAAGAGGACCCATAAGGCAAAGAATGAATTTGTGAAGATGCGTCAAAATGATGAGATATAAAAAGGAGAACAGGTGAAACGAATGATAAATAATATTAGTACTGTATAAGTAGAGTGGTAGACATCATAAATCAGATGAGGCTGTAAATGTGTTTATAGCTTGGTGAATTATTCCCCAGGATTTACCAGCAGAATGATAAGCATGTAAAACATTAAGTGTGGATTGGATTAGAATATGAACTTGGAGATTGGAACTCTAAATGAAAATCAGCTTAGTGAGCAGAACATTGAAGTGTTTAGCAGTGTTTACATGGTTAGGTATATTAAATTGACTAGCAGTGATCATTAGTGCGTGTTGTTTTGTTTTGAGTTAAGTGTGCTAGTAAGCAGGTAATAGAGAAGTTAGTCTCAGTGGTCCATGGAAGCACAAAGGGGGGGGGGGGAAGTGAAGGAATGTACCCCCTTGGCTCATTCTTTCCTTTGGCTACACTTAGTTATTTCTTCCTCTTCTCCAACTAATCTTTTTCACTTTCATTATATTCATTTTTCCCACTCTTCTTTACCCTTAATTGTTGTTCTACCATATGTTTCTTTCCTTCTATAGTCTCATAATTCATGCAGTAGCTGGAGACATTTTTCTTTTCACACACAGTTGTTACTCGGTGTAAGAAAGTGGTGACTACTTAACTTTAACTAAGCCAGCATGTAAGGTTTTGTATGCTTCTTCAGGAACATTTAACACACAAGGCATTACAGATGCTTTTAATAAGATTTGTGGCCACCCTGTGAGATAAAATTCTCTTTATTAAGTTGGGAAAGAAGGCAACAGAGATTGGAATACAGTGTTGAGATAAAGTAAGATATTTAAATGTGCTCATTTTACCCATATATTGAGAACCTAGTATAGAAGGATAAACTAGAATGGAATGATGTGACACGATTAGAATTTATATACATAATTTCATATCTGTTTATGCCAAAACCAAGTGATTTAGGTGATCTTCTCGAGCTGCCATGCGTTGTGGCCATATACTGATGTTGTATATATACCCCATCAAAGATTGAAAATTGAAGAAATACAAATAGTCCTTTTTATTCATTAGGAGCTCATATGTGCCGTGTTATAAGCAATTTCTTACTCAACTGTTCTATTAAAATTAGTATATCTATGTGATTTTCATTATCGGATAATCTAAAAGTGCACATTGAAGTAGCAAGTGTTTGTTGTTCATGTGAAAGTACCATGATCATGTACTATACTTTTATTCTTTGGTTAAATGCCTAAATACCAATTTTTTTTCCTTAAAATGTGAGGGTAAAGTTAGCATCATTGTATTTAAATATAAATTGAGGGTTGGCAGAAAGCGGCAGAATATAGTATAGCTGAATATACCATATGCTAAGGTATTGAATTTGTTGATTAAACTAGAGGAGGCACATTCCATTACTGTAGAGTGAGAAGTTGATGTTTGAAGAAAGAATTGAATTTGTCAGTCTGTTACTTGTGGTTGATTGGTTAAAGCCTTTCAGTGTTTTGTGTTGAAAATCCCATACTAAACACTAATTGCAGGAGAAACAAATTTGAAAGTATTATTAAATGTTTACTTTTATATGAGTTTCTGACATATTAAAATTTTGTAATTGAATTTTTAATAATAGCTATTTATTTTTTGAAAGTGCAGTCCTGTACAGTACTTGAATTTTTTGTGTAAATTATAGGATTTTGAAATTTATAAATAGTTATTAAAATGTAAAGTTGTAGAGGTCATTAAAATTGTTAAACATCCTATTTTAGGAATAACAGTTTTGATACAAGAGGCATCATTTGTAGTAAACAAGTGAATACTTCACTTGTACAGAACATTTCAACAAGACTTTCTGGTATTGGTGAGATGAGTGAGTGAAGCATTTGGAAACGTTTCTGAGCATGCCATTGTGGGGGACACAGAATTTTGACAGTTTTGTGTATGGGTGCTGTTTAGTGGGGCACTGAAAATGACAGCTACCAAAAGTTTTACAAGTTATTAGTATATTTACTTTATTCATTAAGCTATGAATTTTGCAGCCAGTGCCCCTCTTATGATTTTTCCAAAACATTTTTTATTGCTCTTCCTCCTAATTCTTGCTCTCCATTTTATGTAAAAAGGTATTCAATAATTAACTGAGCCTTTTATGATGTTCTGTCACTGAAAGAAATGCTATAAGTTGTCACTGCCCCTTACATTTGCTTAGTGTCCTGTAATTTTGGCAAGGCATTAAGGGTTAATGATGCTGTGATTTTCCGATAGTCGAGCAGTAAAAATCATGCCTCCACTTTATCTTGCGTTTTCATTATTTGTCCATTTTTTATTTTTTATCCAACATGTAGCTGATTATAAGAACAAAAGTGAATTCTGCATTAATAAAATATATGAAATATTAGGTTGTCTAAGAAAGACAATGTAACGATTTATACATCTCGGTGATAAGGAGAGTAGCTTTTGTTATTCTTATTTATATTGAATAGCTGTGAATAGGTATCTTGAAAATGTGTGCTTATTTTTTTTTTTAAGTCGCCAAGTTGAAACGTAAATCATTATTTCCAGTACATTTTAAAGATTCTTCATGAACATTTTGTGTGCAATTCTGTTACAGGGTCACACTTGCGTACAAAGGGTTACAAGTAATCAGAAGGTTGCTGTCAGGACTTGTTTGACCCTGTGGGTAACAGTATAATTGTAGTCTTTGTATTAATTATGGTGATTTCTCTCCTCCTCCTTGATTCTTAGATTAAAAGAAATATTTTTATATGCCCTATGTGTAGTGTTTTTATTTTGTAATTAAAAATTAATAACATTCAAAATTTTATAAAATATGTAAATTTAATATATATTAAGCAACAATAAATTAATTGGTGAGTGATGTTCATAATGGGAAAATTTGAATCTTGGATAAAATTTGAGCTGTCACTGAGTGTTAAGGGTATCTTCTTTGGTGCTGGGTGGGTGGAATACTAAGAAAAGTGTGGGCCCAGCAAGTGCCTCTTGTGTATAGGAATGGCTGGCACTAACAGCTGTGTGTGTCACTCTGACCTGGCTGCTACAGGAAGCAGGCGTGTTTGGACAAAAGCAAGCAGTTCCCTCCCGAGCATGCACACAAGTGCCGAGGAGGCTACTCCCACAATGTGTACCCGTGGCTGGAAGAAGAGGTGTTATGCTGCCATCACGCCGACTTCTGCAACTCTCAGTTGCCAACGGCTTCCCCCGGGAAGCCACCCCTGCCTAGTTTGCCTCCAAAGGCTGCCAATCCATGGAGCAGGCCTGGCGATAGGGGTGGGGAAGGTAAGGCCACCACCAGCCCAGCCTCTCTTCCCATGACCAGCCTCATCACCTGCCATTAGTAAGTTGACAGAGTATAAACTTAAGAGGAAGGAAATTTTACTCAGAGCAGGAGGACTGGTATTAGGTTTGGAGGAGAGGCTGGGCAATGGCACCAAATGCTGTGTGATTATTGGCTTCCCTGCCCCACCTTGTAGGCTCTTTACTAACCACTCACAAGCAGTTTGACTCAATCCCTTTTATCCTGGTTTCTTGAGACTTCTATTTTACTTGTGCACTGCCATTATGCTTTAATAACCTGTAGCTCTCACCTCACTATTTTATCTTGGTCTTTCTGCTGCAAACATTAATATCACCTTGATTATGCCATTTTTAAACTCCAGGTTTATATTTATAAAGACAGTAAAAACATTATCGGTAAGGTTCTACATTTGTTCGACTAATTTTCAGACTTGTCTGCAGTTTGACAAGCTTACATCATTGTCTTTATGGATTGCAACTCCTGGTTATGAGTTGAGTCAATCAACACACTGCACATAATTTCCAAAAAGTATATAACCTGCATTTTATTCTGCATTGCCATTGCTAAGGCAGTTTAACTGGTATAAATGTATAAAAAAGGTAAAGGTAATTAAACAGGATGGAATGACTGGCTTTTGGGGGCCTATGTTAATTTTTCTTGCGTATTGGGTTGGCATATTCTTCATTTACATGCTGTCTTGAGCTAGCATCTTGAATGGTTTGGTAACTTCTCTTGGCCAACTGCATCTTTTTCAGGTTGGTGACTGTTTAAGGATGCAGAGATTGGTTGTGTCTGCACTTTCAGTTGTTAATGGTACTTTGCTGGTTCTTATTCTGGTTTATTCACTCTCGGTCGATATGCAGAAGGGGCTGGCAACTTTAACCCATGTCTTTGCTCACCTGATTATTTTGTGTCAGCTGTCACTGCTCAAGCTGATCTTCCTTTCGTGTGTGAGAGTTTTACTAACATGGTTGCTAGTCTCTGCTGTAAAGATGTAGTGGTGGTTCTCATTCTTGTAGCTTTGGTGAAGGGTTTAAACATTTGTGATAATAGTTGCATAGTGTGAAAAATGTATTATTGACTTGTAAGTGCCAATAAACATGATCAATTTTGCTTTTGTTTTACTTTCAAGTGGAATTTTTTTGTTTACTAACTTGTTATGTATGTGTTATTGTTCATTGTACTTCTTATAGATCTATAAATGTTCAGTAGCTATTGTAAATAAATAGTATTCAGTAGTATTTTTTCTAGCCAAATATGTAAGCTATATAATACTACACTATGTATATTTTTGTAAAGTAAATGGTAGGTTAGAAAATTTTCATCATTTTGTTATAAGAATGATAAATGTTCGTAGTAATCCAACTTTCTGTTTGTAAAAGTATGTGTAAAGGAAAAAAATTCAAAGGTTTGATACAACTTATTGTATAATTTTTTGTGTTTAAGTAATTTCTTCTTTAAGATGACTAGTGTGCCTCGCATTCCACTAGGTGTTTTATAATTGTTGATTTACCATATATTTTAATATGAGATACACGGTATAAGACGAATTATTTTGCCTGGTAATTTTTGGAGAGTGAGTGAAATAGCAGTAACTGCTGTATTAAATAATGTTAAGTAGCTGGACCCGGATTTACAAAGCAGTTACGCAAATACTTACGAACGTGTACATCATTCCTCAATCTTTGACGGTTTTGGTTACATTTATTGAACAGTTTACAACCCTGAAAATTTCTCAATCAACTGTTGTTATTGTTATATACAGCCGCTTGGTACTTCGGAGCTCATTAGCTGTTTAATAATTGTAAACAAAGCCGCCAAAGATTGAGAAAAGATGGACAGGTTCGTAAGTGCTTGCGTAACTGCTTTGTGAATCGGGCCCCTGGTTAGGAAATTCTGTATAATATGATAATGAACTGCCACCTCTTAGGGAAATGTGAGTCTACAGTGGTACTCCTCAACCTAGGTTCTGCACGCTCTCACTTTGCTGTGTTTGAAGGGGGTTTTGGTTTCAATGATCATAAGTGTTTTTAGAAGAGCATTTTAAAATAATGTACAAGTATTTTGATGATGATCATTAGTGACTCCGCACATTTTTTTTTAGAGCCCCTGGATAAAATTAAAGAGGAGATTTTAACATAAGTGCTGAATAACCTTAAAGAAATTGCATTGGGCCTTTTACCTAAATACTGTCATAAAAATAACATAATAATAATAATTATAAAATACAGTACGTACCGTATACAAATTCAAATTTTGTTAGTTGATGCTTCTGCAAACAATTCATGCAATATAGTCATAATGTGAGTAAGAATACGAGTTTTTTTTGCTTACTGATTTGTTAAGTTTTGGCGTTCACTTTGGCAATAGTATTAATCTACTGTCAACACCAGTGGAAGCCATTACGCAATTATTAATTTAATGGAAAGCTGTGACTTACTGTGACATCATGGGGAAACGGTATGCACATATCATGTTTGTTAGTATATTGTAAGATTCAAAACTCCCGTGGGTACAAAAGGCTCGCATCCTGTTCCTGAGGACTCCCGTAAAGGGACACCGTCATGAAAAAAAATCTTGTACATTCCCCCCCCCCCCTTCCCCCCTCCCCTTTCCTGGCTGTGAGAGCTGCTTTACTGCCGGTGCATGCACAGCACACCTGTGATGTTCAGGGACATAGTATCACTTTATAATGATGAATAAAAGATGTATCTGCAATTATTTTGCAATGATAGTGTCATAGATGATCCTGACTGTGATAAAGACCATGTACAACCTTCAGATATTAGGGAGCACAATGCTAGTTATAATGTTTACATAATGAGGTGGAGAGGGACAGCACTCAGCCATTGTTTCAAACATCTATACTTCATGAAATGACCACATGCTCCTTTACAATATAACCTTTTGGAAATTCACATTCAGGATTTAGTGACACAATGTGATAATAACAGGTCTGTGGCTCGTCATAGCAATATGTTTAGTACTGTATATTGGAGGCATTTTCTTTCATCAAATAATTGCTGGTATTGTCTGCATATACCATGTAGCTCCATGCTGTGTTTTGATTTCATCACCGCACCCACCAGAACTGATTATTGGTTTGTTATGGTGCATAAGTGTTGATAGCTATATATATGATGTGTGTATATAGTGTAAGAACAGCAAAAACACTGTTTTATTGTTCAAAGAATATGATGTGTGTCTACATATGAGCACCTATTTTTTTTTAGCATAGTGATGTTCTACACATTCAACTGTATAAATTCCTCAAATTACACACTATTGAATAATATTACTGCAAAAATTAGATTAGAAAATGAACTATCAGAGACATTGAAGTACATAAAGTAATTACGTTCTGGTCTGTAACAATATCTTTGCGGCAGCTCCTGGCACATGTTGAGGCTGGAGGAGGCAGCCCCATCTGATGACCACTCTCTCAGCCCCTGAATATTGGTAGACTTGCTTGTTCCATTATGATCATGCGGACGCTGCCGCTAAGGAGGCTATCCCACTTGTCCCATCTCCCGTAAAGGTGTTCCTTATTCAGACTTATACCCAGTTTTTCATGCCTCCATCCTTGCCCATTGGTGAGATCATTGATCTTCTGTTACTAGTAACAAACTGCATGTTCTTAAAAGTAGTGTGTCCCCATGGCCTTCCCCCTAAGGCCCCCATGGCCTTCCACCTAACACCGTAACTGGCGGTGGGAAACGGCTCTGGTGAGGTTACGTATTGGTCATTAACGCTTAACTCACAGGCACTTAATGGAGCGCCGTCCTGCTCCTTATTGTCCAAACTGTAGTCTCTCTCTTACAGTCGTGCATATCCCTGTTGAATGTCTTGACTTCCAGGACGAACGTGTCTTGCTTCTCAACTGTCCCTCGCGGTCACTTGTCCCTCGATCGAATTCTTACTGAATTGGATACCTTTGATAATCGTTCGCCTTATGTGCTTTTGTTCTCATATTGGCATCCATAGTGATATTTAGCGCCCCATGAATACCCCTTACATTTGATGGTGCTTCAAAGCCTTCCCGGCTTATTGCCTTCTTTTGATAATTACTTGTTCCATCATGGCCAAAGTATGTCAGACAATATTTTTGCTATTTGCCTGTCTAGTTGCCTGTCGGTTCAGGGAATGCATTTCAACAGTTCTGTATTGTATTAGACAAAAAAATTTGGGGGATTTTTTTTGTTATGCAGACAGAGGACTTGTCACTAAACTAATGTGTAGTACAGTGGTATGTGGTTACTTCAGCTCTGCCCTCAGTATCGCAGACATGAGTGGATATGGAGCATCATGTCTATGATTGTTCTCGCAGATTTTACCTCTTTTTGGACTGTTATTTCCTTTAGGGAGATTTGCTTGGAATTTTGTTGTGTGTTTGAGAGGCTCTTGTGATGCGAGTTGACAATACATTCAATTCATATTTCATTACCTAATCCAGTGTGCCCTGGATAAGTTAGCTGTACATTGCTGAGTTGCAGCTACCTTTGGCCTCCTCCCTGGTATATGTTATCAGAATGGTAGAGAAAATATTCAGTCGCCAGGGACTGTAGGTAATAGAATTTGTAATAATTAATATTTTGAAATAAAATTACTGTACCTAAATATTCATCAAAAGTAGAGTTTGCACTTTTGTTGGCTAGTGTGTGTTTACCGCACATGATCACATGTAAACAGAGTGATGACAGGGCTAATGCCATATTTGTTTTAAAATTTGCCAACATTCTGATCAGTCATCAAAGCCCTCTTTCACCATACAGTAAACCTTTGAGCAGCACATTTCTCACACCGGGAATTTGATGGGCTACTCAGTGTGCCTTGGAAAAATAATTTAGCACATGTTTCTCTTGTTTTATAAGGAATTTAGATTCCAATATAGTTTTGTATCCTGACACTTTCCCAAATATTGTGCAACTCATGCTGCACAACATCAAGAAATTAAAAGTAATTTTAACTAATACTAAAATGT